GGGGGACTTCCAGGGATGCCTGAGGTCCCCGGGGCCCCACTTTAGCAATCCACTGCTGGGCCATGTGGACCTGAGGCCTTGGTGTCTGTATTTGTTGCTGAGGTGCTGCTTGGGCCCAGTGATGGGGGTGGGGTATTAGCGGCCATCACTTGGACACACCCAGCGGTGCTGGGGTGGGCCTTGTGGTATCAGGAGTGGAGCTGGGGGGGTCTCATGCATGCTGAGCATATGTTCAACCCTTGAAGCTATGCTCCTGGCCCCCAAATTTAGTTCACTTTAGAATATGTAATATTGGGGCTGGAGCAATAGCACAGCGGGTAGGGTTGCATGTGGCCAGCCCAGGTTCGATTCCCAGCATCCCATATGGTCCCCTGAGCACCACCAGAGATAATTTCTGAGTACAGAGCCAGGAGTAACCCCTGTGCATTGCCAGGTGTGACCCAAAAAAAAGCAAAAAATAAAACATATTTTTCTATCTGAAACCTCAGAGATTGCCAAGGGTGTTTTCTTCCACACCTGCTCTCTTTGGACCAGGGAATGATGGGTCAGGAGCTAACCAACCTGCCTTGCAAGTGTGAGGTCGTGAGTCTAAAACCTGGGGTCACCACATGCACTCAGCATGAATAATGATGGCCACTCTGCGGCCAGAGCCTGGCAGCTCTATTTGAGATCCTGGCACTTGATGAGTGTTTGACACCTCACAGTCAGGCGTGATTAAGCTTTGCAGCTCAGGATGCGGCCCCTGGCAAAAGCATAACTAAAAAGGTGTTTGAGGGCCTGGAGTGATAGCACAGTGGGTAGGGCGCTTGACTTGCATGTGGCTGACCTGGGTTCTATTCCCATCATCCCATATGGTTCCCCCAAGCACTGTCAGGAGTAATTCCTGAGTGCAGAACCAGGAGTAACCCCTGAGCATCGCTGGGTGTGACCCAAAAAGCTGTCACTCTATAGACCAAACATGATTGCCACTCAATACCTCTTTTGCAAACCACAACACCCAAAAGGAGAGAGAGAACAAAAGGGAATACCCTGCCACAGAGGCAGGGTGGGATGGGGGGATGGGGGGCGGGAGGGATACTGGGACCCGTGGTGGTGGAAAATGAGCACTGGTGGAGGGATGGTTGTTTGATCATTGTACAGTTGAAACAAAAGCACAAAAATTTGTAAATCTACAACTGTACCTCATGGTGTTTCACTAACAAAAATTAAAAAAAAATGTAAATGATGGAGAATGGGCACTGGTGGAGGGATGGGTACTGGATCATTGTATAACTGAAATCCAAGCACAAAAATTTGTAAGTCTACAACTGTACCTCATGGTGTTTCACTAATAAAAATTTTAAAAAAAGCTGTCACTGTCCTCCCATTGTTCATCGATTTGCTCGAGCGGGCCCAGTAACATCTCCATCGTGACAATTGTTACTGTGTTTGGCATATTGAATGCATCACGGGTAGCTTGCCAGGCTCTGCCATGCAGGTGAGATACTCTCGGTAGCTTGCCGGGCTCTCCGAGAGGGGCGGAGGAATCAAACTCAGGTTGGCCACGTTGGCTGCTTGCAAGGCAAACGCCCTACCCACTGTGCTATCGCTCCAGCCCACCCAAAAAGCAAAAAAAAAAAAAAAAGAAAAAAAGTGTTTGAGCACCAGGGTCAGGAGTGCAAGTCTATATATATGAGCACTGCACAAACGCACTTGAGAGCAGGGGAGGTGCCACAGGGGCTAGGGTGCAAGCCGGGCGGGCAAGACGCTGGTTTGCTCCCTGGCACCACACACACCCCTGACGACCTCCAGGGTGGCCCTGATGCCCCTGGTGGTGCCGGTGCAAGGCCAGAGCAGTGGCACCTCCTTGGGCCGTGCTCAGCGCCTTGCTGACGGAACTGAGTGCCCGGAGAGGCCCAAAGGAGCAAAGAAACAAGGCAGTGCTCTAGGGTCACAGCAGAGGAACAGACACGCATGAGCGTGTGCCTGTGTGTGTGTATGCATGTGTGTGTGTGCATACGTGCATGAGTGTGTGTGTGTTTGTGTGTGTGTGTGTGTGTGTGTGTGTGTGTGTGAGCCCTGGTTGCTGAACCATGTCAACAGAAGGACATGAAGGGGCCAAAAGTCAAAAGACAGGGGCTGGAGCGATAGCACAACGGGTAGGGGGTTTGCCTTGCACGTGGCCGACCCAGGTTCGATTCCCAGCATCCTACATGGTCCCCTGGGCACTGTCAGGAGTAATTCCTGAGTGCATGAGCCAGGAATAACCCCTGTGCATTGCCAGGCAAGACCCAAAAAAGCAAAAATAAATAAATAAATAAATGTCAAAAGACAGTGGCAGGACCCCGAGCTCAGCGGGGTGAGCTCATGAGCTACACACGGGAGACCCGGTTCCATCCCGGGCACACTGATGCCACCCGGTCCTAAGCAATACTATTGATATAAATCAGAGCAGGCTCAGCAGCCTAGCATGGTCTGGCATGTGCGAACCCAGGGCCGGACCCCAGCCCCGCTAAAGCAACTCGGGGTTCAGGAAGGGGTGCTGCAGGTCAGCTCAGCTGGCTGGAGGCCCGGCGTGCTTGAGGTCCTAAATTGGGCCCTGCCACCACCTGAGCACCTGCGAATTGCCAGGTGTGCCTGTCTTCTGGAAAGTCGCTGAGTGGCTCTGGGCCCCCCAAGCGCTGCTGCAGAGGCCTAAAAGAAAATAAAAATAAAACTTTTCCCGCTTATCCCTGTCAATCACCTGCCACGACCAACGTCGCCAGTCACTGCGGAGTCCGGTCAGTGCTTTTCCCTCCGAGAGATGTATGAGGGTCACTGGTCAGGCCCTGCGGCCCGCGGGTGCAGGGCAGCGTGGGAACTCCCAGCCCTCACCCCGCCCCCTTACTTTCTTTCCAGCCCCATTTCTCCCTCTCTCTGACAACGGTTCCTCTGAGCAGTTATTCTCCCTTTTTCTTGTTCATTCACCCAGCCCTGAAGGTGTGCCAGGCCCCATGCCCGGCCCCGGACGTGCAGCGTCTGCCCCAGGCCTGGGCTGGCCCGCGGAGGAAGTTGGGTGTGTGTTTTTGTAAACACAAAAACTGTGGACTGCATAAAGGGGCCTGGTTCCCTGGTTTACCAATGAGCAAAGTCAGCCGTGCCAACCAATGCCCGCTGCTGTCTGGGAGCTGAATACCGTCCCGGGAGCCTGGGAACCCACAGGAGTGGGCACTAACGCTGGCCCCTGTTCTCCCCACCCCTCCCCCCAAAGAAGCCTGGCCCTCTTCCAGTTTCCCACCTCATGAAAGCTCCCCCCATCCCAGCCACTGTGGGAATCCTCAAGCCTGGGCTCCTCCCACATCCTTCCCCAGGGGGCCCCTATGGCTGAGACCACCCCTCCAAGACCCCCCAACCACTCCCCTAGGTCTCTGGCCTCTGTCCAGCTGCTCTCCATGGCGACTAGCTTGCCCAGGCCTCCTCTTCTGCAGGAAACTTCCTCCCTGGCCTTTGGCGTCCACCCTGGCCCCTTTCCATCCTCTGTAGATGGCGTCATTTTGTCACTTACTTGTTCTAGCATTCTATGCACCAATGCCTGGGTGGCACAGCCCAGTCCTAGTGCTGACTCTGCCACTCAATCAAATGGTCCCCTTACTTAACCTCTTTTTTTTTTTAATTATTACTTACTTAACCTCTTTAGCGGCAAAAAGCTCATGCGATAAGTGATGTAAGGAAAACACTGTCTGTCCACACACCGTCCTCCCGTTGTTCATCGATTTGCTCGAGCGGGCCCAGTAACATCTCCATTGTGAGCCTTGTTGTTACTGTGTTTGGCTATCGAATACATCACGGGGAGCTTGCCAGGCTTTCCCGTGCAGGCAAGATACTCTTGGTAGCTTGCCGGGCTCTCCGAGAGGGGTGGAGGAATCGAACCCAAGTCGGCCGGGCTGGCCGTGTGCAAGGCAAACACCCTACAGCTGTGCTATCATTCCAGCACACCACTGTAATGGGGGTAAAAATTATTATTATTTTTTGCTTTTTGGGTCACACCTGATTGGTGCTCAGGGTTTACTCCAGTCTCTGTGCTCAGGAATTACTCCTGGTGGTGCTCAGGGGACCACATGAGATACCAGGGGAATCGAACTCCAGTTGGACGCGTGCAAGGCAAACGCCCTCCCCGCTGTACTATCGCTCCAGCTTCTAAATACTATTTTTATACTTGTCAGTCTCATCAGTCCTCATTTTTCCTTAGAAATCAACCGAAATAGGGCCTGGGATAGAGTACAAAGCCCAGAATTCAATCCCCAGCAACACATAGTCTGTCTCTCCCTCTCTCTCTCTCCTCTCTCTCTCCCTCTCTCCCTTTTTCTCTCCCTCTCTCCACCACCCCCCTCTGCTGCTCAGCTGAAATAAATACAAGTAAGCCCATGACAGCATCACTCTTTCTTCTCTACTCTGAGCAAACCTTGAGTGGGGGTACCTGGGTGCTCAGTGCTCAGGGAGGGTCAGGGGACCAATCACATGTACGGGATGGAACCCAGGCCGCTGGCCTACAAAGCATGTGCTTTTCTCTCGGTCCTGGAGAAGAACTTTCATTTATTTTTTATGAATTTATTTAGAATTTTGTGCCAGACTCCGCAGTGTTCAGCGGGGGCTGCTCCAGGCTCTGCGTTCAGGAGTGACTCCTGGTGGTGCTCACACGCGCTGCCAGAGCTTCGAGCCCGGGTAGGGGCAGCGACAGCCGCATGCAAGGCGGAGCTTGAACCCGGACCTCATGCGTTTGCGTTGTTGCGCAACCACTCCCGCTGCAGTGAAGGGGACGAGGACGGCAGAGGACAGCACAGGCCAGGAGCACCCGGTCCCGGCTGGCAGGGAGGTCGCCTAGCAACCAGAAAACGCCTTCGGAGGAATGACGGATCCGATTGGGCGGCAGAAGGATGTCCCGCCCCGTGAGGCTCCGCCCCTTACGCCCCGCCCCGCGCAGGAGCCGTAGGAAGCCCCGCCCCACCCGGGCGAGGAAGGCTTCCGATTGGTCGATTCTCCGGAAGCGACGGGATTTGGAGTCGCGGAAGCGCCGCGGCGCGTTTGGTGGCGGCGCGTGGGGTTCGTGGCCGGGTGGCGGGGGCTCGCGCGGCCACAGCGCGCACCCCCTGTGGCCGAGCCTTCCTCCTCGCCCTCGGCAGTGGCGGAGCATGCTCCGCGCCGGGCTCTCCAGGCCCTCCCGCGCCGTGCCACTGGCGGCCCGAGTGGCGGGGCCCCGCGCGTGACCGTGACTCCCGCCCCGTCAGCCCAGATCGCAGAACCCGCAGCAGGATGTTCGTCCTGGTGGAGATGGTGGACACGGTGCGGATCCCCCCGTGGCAGTTTGAGAGGAAACTCAACGACTCCATCGCCGAGGAGCTGAACAAGAAGTTGGCGAACAAGGTACGGGCCGTGGGGGGCGCGGGCGGCCCTGGCACCCGGCACTGCCCGCCGCGTGGCCGTGGACGTGCCAGACCTTGGCCGTGGGCGAGGAGCTTCGAGGCTCCGAACTCGGTTCCAAGCCCCTTGCTTGGAGGGCGGGCGGCACGGTGATCTTGGGGGAACCAAAAGAAACTGGGTTTGGGCCAGAGGTGCCGATGAGGAAGTTCCGGGACCCCAGGGTCTGTCCCCCCATGCACGGCCTCCCGGGCGCGCCCAGGGCAACCCTGGTGTCCCCCAGCACTGCCAGGGAGGCTTCTTCAACCCTCACCCCTCAAAATAAATAAAAGGTGGATCCGAAATGGTGGAAGTGCTCTTCACTTGGGGGTCACCCGTGAGGGACTACAATGCCCTAGGCCGGGTGGCCGAGTGACACTTGGTTGGGTGACTGGGGCTTCTTTGTACTTAGAGGGGCTAGGACGTCCGCAGTGGGGGCTGGGGCTGGGCTCTGTGGCCGTGGCCGTGTCCCCTGCACGGGCCCAGCCATTCTGCCTTCTTACAGCCCTGAGCTCTGTAAGATCTTTCCAGCTTGGCGGTCGCTTTGGTGGAGTGGGTCCATCCGGTTCCCTGAAGCCCCTTCCTCTCCCAAGGTGTGCCCCTTGTTCTGCAGTGTAGACGGGCCTCAGGAGACAGCCTGGGGTGGGGGAGGGCTGCTGAGGAGGGGCTGGGGGTGACAGGCCTGTCTGGGTCGCCAGGTTGTCTACAACGTGGGGCTGTGTATCTGCCTGTTCGACATCACCAAGCTGGAGGATGCCTACGTGTTCCCAGGCGACGGCGCCTCGCACACCAAAGGTGGGTGCCTTGTTCCTGGGGCTCGGGTGGGGGAGGGCACAGTCCTCTGAGGGCACCCCCACATTCACGATCACGATCATCCTGTTGTTGGTCGATTGCCTCGAGCAGGCCCCAGTAACGTCTCCTTCGTCCTAGCCCTGAGATTTTAAAAAGTGCCATATTCAAGGCTCTTTCAGGGTTAGGAGAATGAGACCCATCATTGTTACTGGTATTTGGCATATTGGGTACGCCACGGGGAGTTTGCCAGACTCTGCCATGCGGGCAAGATACTTTCGGTAGCCTGCCAAGTTGTGCAAACTTGCTGGCCCGTTAAAGAGGATGGAGGGGAGCAGTCGGGGCAACCCCTGAACACGGGGGCATCTCAGGCCCACTTGCTTCTTTTGCTGCTTCCGGCCTTTTGGATCCCGAGGGAGGCGTCTGGGGGGTCACCCAATGGCCTGGGACTGGGGGTCATGACTGTGGGCGGCCCTGGCTCCAGGCTTCTCCCGGGGACCTGGGGGCCCTTGCAGGTGAGTGGGGGGCTGCCCCGGCGCCCCTCACCTGCCCTCCCATCTGCCGCCCACCCAGTGCACTTCCGCTACGTGGTGTTCCACCCTTTCTTGGATGAGGTCCTCATCGGGAAGATCAAAGGCTGCAGCCCCGAGGGCGTGCACGGTAGGCAGGGTGGGGATCTGGGGGGGTGTCCTTGGTCTGTGTGTGTGGGGGGGAAGCTAGCCGAGGGTCAGCTAAATGGAAGTGGCCAAGTGGGAGAGGCTTGTAAATGAGGGGACCACTCGGCTCCCGCTTTGGCCCAAGGGCACCACCAGTTGAGGTGGCTACAAGACTCCAGGCCTCGGCAGGTTAAGGTGGGGTGCAGAGTCTGCCCCGGGTTTGGGGCTGCTCGGGGTGGGTAGCGGGGAGGCTCCTGGGTGAGGCTGCCCGTCGAGGGCACCCAAGTGGTCACCCGTGGGCTCTCCCACTCTGCAGTCTCTCTCGGCTTCTTCGACGACATTCTCATCCCACCAGAGTCTCTGCAGCAGCCGGCCAAGTTGTATCCTCCTGAGGTTCGTGGGCTAGCGGGGACCCCAGGCTGGCCCAGGAAGGTTCCCCACCAAGCCTTGGGCGGCCCTGAGGGCCGGGGGTCTGACGCCAGCGCTCCCATTGACTTCACTCAGGTCACTCCCTTGTCCTTCCAGGTGGCAGCATTGGCTTATCTGGGGGCTTAGTCACAGGGCTGCGGTTCCCCATCCCGGCCTGCTGCCCTGGGGTGGCCTGTTTCCGACGTCCTCACAGGGACCCCGTCCTGTCGTCCCATTCCCCACAGTGCTCTGCAGAGAGGGAGGACTCCTGGGGTGTCTTGGGGGAGCTGCTTCCCACAGTGGGGCTGTCTCTGTGACCCCAGGATGCATCAGGAAACCTGGTGGTCGCTTCCTCTCCCCCATCCCCTGACCCAGGCAAGTCCTTCAGGTGGGGGGAGGGGCAGTGCCCAGAGCTTGGGAACAGCTTCGGCTCAGGGCTGACGGGTGAGGCTGGAGGGGACATGTGAGTGGCCCCCATGGGGAGCAGGTTCCGGGAGCTGGGGTGTGGCCACTTCTTCCTTTAAGGAGGTCCTGGGGAATGGGGGGGCATGGCCTATGGTGGGGTGTACATGTGTGGTATGTATATGTGGTGTCTGGTATGTGTATCATGGGGGGTTGTATGTGATGTTGGTGGTATGAGATGTGGGTTTATGTCCCATGTGGCATAAGTATGCAGGCATGTGTGACGATATGGCGGGGGTGGTATGTTTTCGTGTACATCCGCGTGTGAATGTGGCAGCCCGCACTCCCTGGCCCTGCGTTTCTGTGACCGCGCCTGTAGTCTGGGGTGCGTGCGTGACGGGCAAGAGCCCAAGCCTCCCCTCTGCCCGCTGGTTTCCTTGACCCTGGCCCCCCAGCGATGAGGCGGAGCAGGTGTGGGTGTGGGAGTACGAGACGGAGGAAGGGGCGCACGACCTGTACATGGACACGGGTGAGGAGATCCGCTTCCGGGTGGTGGACGAGAGCTTTGTGGACACGTCCCCCACGGGGCCCAGCTCGGCCGAGGCCGCCGCGTCCAGCGAGGAGCTGAAGAAGGAGGCCCCGTACACCCTGCTGGTAAGACCTGAGAGCCGGGCTGCTGACGGGGGGCCTCCTCGATATCCCTTTCCCCACAGTCCGCGGAGCCTAGGGTGTGATGCCCCAGGGGGTCTCTGGGGAGCCCCGCAGTAGATGGGAAATGTGGGGCTGGAGCAGGCAGGACGCAGGATAAAGTGGGACTTTAGGGACCTGCTTTGGGTGGTCTGGGGTAATGGGGGGCCCGGCCGTGCATCTGGGGCAGATGCTTGCTAGACACCCAAGGGCTCAGGGGCTCTCCTGGCTGGGCACCCCCAGGAAGGCCCCTCTGCCGTGTCCAGCCAGCCCTGCCCACAGCTGAGTGCACGGCTTCTTGCCCCTCACAGGCCTCCATCAGCGAGCCAGGCCTGGGCCTTCTCTCCTGGTGGACGAGCAGTTAGCAGCTGGCCAGGCCACGGACGCCCCCCACCCGCCCCCTGGACTGCCTCTGTGAAAGCATGTTTAATAAACAAGGACACTAGTGCCTGTGGCGCCGCCTCTGTCTCCGCGGCCACCATCGCGTCTAAGGACACGGAGTCGCCCCAGCTGGGCAGTAGGACTCTCCTCACCCCAAGCATCTGTGGAGACAACCCACCCTGCCAGAAGGCGGAGCTTTGCCGGCTGGGCAGCTCCCGCAGGTGAGGTCGCCAGCCTGTGAGAGGTCCACATTCAGGCTTGGGGGCTGACGCGATGGCCAGGGAGAGGGGCTCTGGGGGCCGACCAGCAGCAGGGCTGGGTCCGGCAGAGGAGCAGAGAGGGGGTGCGCCCACTCCCCCGCGCCCCGGGCGTGGCACACACGGCACAGACACAGGCAGTCAGTGGATGTTTGATTCTTATTTTCCTTGCAAGGGCGAAAGGGTCTCTAAAGTCCTTCAGCCACGAGTGAAATGATCAGGCAGGAGAGAACTTGAGAAACGTGGGGGTCTTGTCATCAAAAATAAATAGTTGCACGTGGAGCTGCTGAGACCGGAACCGAGAGCCGGCGGGCGGGGCTGCCGCGTTCTTCCCGGAACCCCCCGACCGTGGGCCGCCCCGTGGCTGAGGCGGAGCGCAGGACGCCTGGCTGAGAGCGGGCCAGGCCGCCGTTACTGCTGCAGCTCCTTCATCCTGTTGAGCGCGCTGCCCGCGCGGAACCACTCGATCTGGGTCTCGTTGAAGGTGTGGTTCAGCAGGATGGTCTCCTGCGTCCCGTTGGGGTGCTTGATGATACACTGCAGGGGCTGGAGGGTGCAGGGGCTGGAGAACTGAGCCCAGCCTCACCCCTGCGGGGCGCGGGGGCTGCTGCCCTGAGCTGGTAGGGTCCCTGCCCCCCCCACTGGGATGGAGGTTCCCCCCCCACCCCTCACCTTGCCAGGAGCAAAGTCCTTGAGGCCCTGGATGGTCAGCTTGTCCACGGGGTGGATCTTGTTGTAGTCGGCGGGGTCGGCGAAGGTCAGGGGCAGCAGACCCTGCTTCTTCAGGTTGGTTTCTGGAAGGCAGAGGGGACAGTTCACAGCCCGGGGGGCTCCTGGGAGACGCCCGCGAGCCGGGGGCAGGCCAGGCCGCAGCTCACCGTGGATGCGGGCGAAGCTCTTGGTGATGATGGCCCGGCCGCCCAGGTGGCGCGGCTCCAGCGCCGCGTGCTCCCGGCTCGAGCCCTCGCCGTAGTTCTCATCTCCGACCACCACCCACCGGATGCCTTGTTTCTGCGGGGTGGGCACGGGTGAGGCTCTGGGGGCGGTGCCCGGGGCCTACAGGCTCCCCGCGGACCCACCGCTCACCCACCTTGTAGTAGCGGGCGGTGTCAGGGACGGGGCCGAACTCCTGCGTGATGGCGTTGCGCACCGAGTTGGCTTTGCCGTTTTCGATGTTGATGGCGCCGATGAGCAGGTTGTTGGAGATGTTGTCCAGGTGGCCTCGGAACTTGAGCCAGGGCCCGGCCGCCGAGATGTGGTCAGTGGTGCATTTCCCTTTGACCTGGCGAGCGCGGACCAGGAAGGGGAACAAAGGGAGGGACCCTTTGCCGTGTGGCCTGGGAGCTGGCCCTGCGGCAGAGCCGGTCACCGTCCACGGGCTGGAGCACAGGCTCCTTGTGGGAGCACTTCCCAAGACCCACCTTGATGAGGATCTGCAGGTCCTCCAGGTCTTTGCCGTCCCACTTGTCGAAGGGCTCCAGGAGCTGCAGGCGCTGGCTGGTGGGGCTCACGTCCACCCGCTGGCCGCTGCTGTCCTTGGGGGGGTGCTGGTAGGTGTCCTGGCCAGGGTCGAAGTCCTGCAGCGGGAAGCGGCTGTGTTGGGCGCTGAGGCCTTGGTGCCCGCGTGCATGGGCCCGCACCGCAGGGCAGCTGGCTGGGGGGCTGCTCACTCCCGCCTGCGGTCCCCCCAAGGGCCTCTCACCGCCCGGGGCAGCTCATCTGCGTCCGGCGCCTCCAGCTTGAACTTCTTGCCGTCCTTGCCCGTCAGGAAGTCAGTTTCTGGGTTGAACTTGAGGGTGCCAGCAATGGCCAGGGCTGTGACAATCTGGAAGAGGGGTGACCAGTGGGCCGGTCAGCCCCAAGAAAGGCCATGGTCCCCCCCCTCAGTGGGGAAGCACCTGCTAAACTCCCAGTGCTCGGAGCAGAGACGGAGAGGCCCACGCTGATGGCGTGGCGAGGGGCCCCCCATGTCGCCTGGTTATCACTCATCAGAAAGACCCAGAGTGAGCTGTTGGGTGCTGCGGGGCAGAGGCCGTTCCCCGAGCCAGGAGCACTGTGCCCAGGAGTACAACACCCGCAGGAGGCTGTGCAAAGAGCCTCGGGCTGCCTCACCTCGGGGGAGGTGACGAAGGCATGGGTCTCGGGGTTGGCGTCGTTGCGGCCGGTGAAGTTCCTGTTGTAGGAGGTGACGATGGTGTTCTTCTCCCCCTTCTTGATGTCCTTTCTACCGGGGAAAAGGGCACAGGGTCAGGGGGAGGCCAGGCGGGCCCATGGTACAAGCCCGGCCCGAGGCAGGGAAGAGGTACGGCGCCCCCGCCCGTCCCTGACGTGTCCTCTCCTGCCAGTGTCCCCAGAGCTGCTCGGCGCTCTTCAAGGCCAGTCGGGGCTGTCCTCAGACCCGCTTACCTGTCCCACTGGCCAATGCAGGGGCCACAGGCGTTGGCCAAGACGACACCGCCCACATCCCTCAGGATCTGTGCCTGTGAGGGCAACACAGGCCGTCAGTGGGGGCCACCGGCTGCTGAGAGGTGGCCCTGCCCTGAGTCCTGCCCTCAGGCACTCACGTAGCCGTCCCGCTCGATGGTGGCCCGGATCTGCTCAGAGCCCGGCGTGATGGTGAACTGGGACTTGCACTTGAGCCCGTGGGCCAGGGCCTGCTTGGCCACCGCCGCTGAGCGCCCCATGTCCTCGTAGCTGGAGTTGGTGCAGCTGCCGATCAGACCTGGGCAAAGGGGGTGGGGCGGCTCAGGCCATGGGGCCCACAGCTGGCCCACTAGGAAAGGGCATCACCCCACCACCGGGGGTGATCAGGAGTGGTGGCATGGCCCATCTGGGCCAGAGAGGGACCCCAGGCCCCGAGAGCTGGGGTGCGCGGTAACAGGTGTCTGCACTTCCGGTCCGTGTTCCCTGCAGTGGGCGCGGAGGCACTCACCCACCCGGATGTCCAGGGGCCAGCCTTCCTTCTCTGCCACCTTGCCCACGTCGGCCACGGGGTGGGCCAGGTCAGGGGTGAAGGGCCCGTTGATGTGCGGCTTCAGCTGGACGAAAAACAGAGAGGGGGACAGAGGTTCCAGGGGGCTGGAGAGGCCCTGGGGCACTGCTCCCTGGCACTGGACTCTGAGGGGGTGGGGGTGGGGTTGATGGCAAACCCATCTCGACCAAACGCTTCCCATGGTCTTTGTCAACAAAACACTGAGCAAACTGCCCGGTCACTGTCACTGCACGGATTCCCAGGGTCCTGAGGCCCAGAAGGGAGTGACTTGCCCGGGTCCCTGAGCTTGGGCGACTGCAGCTGAAGCGGCCGGCCAGTCTGCTGCTTCTCCCCAACCGCCCTGTCTGCCGAGCAGGGCTCGCGCGTACGGCAGCTCCATGCTCGTGCCTGGACCCACCCCGGACTCCGACAAGCAAACTGCAGGGCACAACTTCTGCTCTGCCATGGCAAGGTGGAGCCCAACGGAGCAGCTGGAGTCCCCGGCCGTGGGCTCCTCCTTCTCCCCTTCTAGCCCCGGGCAGGGACAGAGTCCGGAGCCTCCCTGGGCCGCCTGCTGACCCCGAGAGCCCCGATCGATGGCTTCCCTCCCTTTCCTCACCTCGTTGAGGTTGATCTCGATCAGCTGGTCGTACTGGCAGCCGGGGTCAGGCACCAGGTGTTCCTTGTACTCGTCTGCCAGATTGGCGATGTCTGCACACGGGGATGGAAACCCATGAAGTAAACTCAGGCTTCCCCCAGCACCCGCCAGACGCCCGGAGCCTGCCCAGTGCTGAGCTGATCATGTGTGTTTGGGGCAGCACCTGGCAGTGCTCAGGGCTTACTCCTCGCTCTGCACTCGGGGTCACTCCTGACAGGGATCGTGGGCCATATGGGGTGCTGGAGATCAAACCGGAGTCACCCACATTCAAGGGAAGTGTCCTCCCTGCTGTGGTATTGCTCCAGCCCCAAACGAACGCCAGACTTGGCACTGACTGGGCAAACAGAACCAAAGCAAACAGCACAGGGCACTGTCCCTGCCTCAAGGGCCTGTGCTCTCAGGAAGGGGCTCAGTGAGCTGGAAGTTACAAACACAGACAAGGGCACGTGAGACTGAGCTTTGGAATCCAGGAAGGCTTCCTGGAGGCAGAGGAGCTGGGCTGTGAAGAAAAAGAAGTTACCTGATATTTTGAAGGGTGGGTGGCACCCTTTAGGGCCTCCACGTGCTCAGAGCTTGGAAGCAAATGGCCCAAGTCTCCCTAGGACCCCCCAGCTTATGCCACCCCAGTCAGCCTCACTCCTCTCCTCAGAGGCCTAGCGAGCTGCCTCCAGGCTCCCTTTGCGCCTCTGAGCTTTAAAGCCAACAAGAACCTCAGGAGGTTGTGGGACAATTAGGAAAAGCGGCTCCAGCTATAAATGTTCTTCCCCGGCTAGGGCAGGAGAAGCTACAGGAACTATCCAGGTCACGGGGCTGGACGGATGGCAGAGTGGGGAGGGCACTTGTCATGCACGTGGCCAACCAGGTTGGATCCCCAGCATCCCATATGGTCCCCCGAGCCCCACCGGGAGTCATTCCTGAGGGCAGAGCCAGGAGGAACCCCTGAGCACTGTCAGGTGTGGCCCCAACACTGAAAAGAAAAGTCAGTTTTAGTCTCCAGGCTGTGCCTGCAGCTTCCTCTAGGGGGCTCCGGGGAGCAGGCCAGGCTCAGGCAGGGAACGGGCTTGCGGGTGAGGCCCCCACACGGGACAGGAGCACGCTCGGCCTCACCCATTTTGGGGGGCTTCTAGGCCTTGCACACTGGCCCACACCGTCCCTTCTGTTCTCGCCGCCCTGTCCGCCAGCTCACCTGTCC